CCTTGGTGGAGGTGGAGCCCTTCCCAGTGGTCACGCACTCTTGGACCTGTCTGCTGTTGTTTGTGCCCAAACACGATAGAAATTGGGGCGGGAACGGTAGGTGGCATGTACGTGGAGGGAGAAAAATGGGGGGGAAATTACAGCTGAGGAAAAAGAGTGTACGCAAGTGCAGATGGTCCCCTGTCGACGCGCACTTTCCAGGCGCCCGTGCACTCCCAAGCCGAGGGTGGAGCGTGGTGCCCCCGCCGCCGTCTGACGCGCAGCTCTAACGCTGGTTCCGAGCCACCCCGACTCCTCCTCGGCTTCCTCACTGGGCCGAGCTTCAGTGGATGTGCAGCCTGGGACCTCGGGAACTGCGCTGCCTTCGGCGTTCTCCCGGGACTAGTCCCGGCGCTCAGCGACACACGGTAGCGCGGGGCTCGGGCGCCTCCTGGCGGCGGCGGCGCGCGACACGAGTTAGTTTCTCCCGCCGGAGACGGCGCGTGGAGGGGACGCGGGTTCTGCGCGCAGGCTGGAGACCTGCAGGCCCGCATTTCCCCACTTGCTCGGATGGCGGCGCTGAGGTCTTTTCTCCTCTTTATTAACAACGATGGCCGGGGAGGAAGAACATAGAGCCTTTAAAAACCAGAGTGGGAGAGGAGAGGGTGTGTGTGTGTGTGTGTGTGTGTGTGCGCGTGTGCGTGTGTGTGTGTGTGTGTGTGTGTGTGTGTGTTGGGGCGTTGGTGAAAGCAATAAAACTCAGATCGCTTCCTCGGCGAGATAGCGGCGGCTATAATGCACCAGGGGGATCAGGGGTTTATTTGCAGATCCTGGATAAAAGATGATATATCGACGCCGTTTAGAGTGTCACTGCGCCTGGCCTCTCAGGAAGCCACAAGTACATATTTCCTGAAATACCACCCAACACAATATCTAATCCACGTGCCACTTAAGCATTGGGAGGGGAACCTCAGCATCTCACAAGTTCATGCCTGGCTTCCTAGATCTGGGTGGGGAGACCCCACCCGGGCAGGATCTGGTGTGCCTAGACGCCCCCTTCCCTGGCCTTTGTATTGGGTCCAAGTAATCACTTAGCCATGGGCCTTAATAAATACGTCTGAGAACTGTCCTTATGCTCAGTAAATATTGGATTAGCTTTTCAATGACCAGGCTCTTGAAAAGGCTCGAGAAATCCACACCAGGTCTCAGCTAAGCCCAACAGTCAATAGGTAAGGAAATAAGTTATTTCCCTGTCTGGGGTGGGGAACGTTGAGAAGGAGACCAGGCGTTGAGAAAGGGGTTCCCAATCTTACCAAGTTATCTGGTTCTACTAAATATGACAGTAGTACTAAAAAGGAAAAGGGGAGTACCCAAGTTTTGGATTAGTTGAAATTTCCACCCACTCCATTGTGCTCATTAAGGGCTGGGTGACGTTGTCCCTGGGGAAGATGTCTGGGTTCTGTTTTAATTTCCACAGTGCTCAGCATAAACTTTTTGTTTAGTACATGTTGTTTGTTTGGGGACTGCTTATGAGAGTTTTGACCGGGCTATTTCAGGGGAGAAGGCATGACCCAAACAAGGCAAAAATGGGCAAATTCCTTAGAAGCCTTGCGGTGTCTCCCTGGTACTCAATTTTGCAAACACAAGGATGCAGAAGACACTGAAAATTAAAGAGGAAGTCTCTTCCTCTCCCAGCATGGTGGGAAGGGAGGCTGTTGGAGAAGTTTCTGAAGTCGTTTGCTATCGCACTGAGATGCCAGTGGGATCTCCGAGCATAATTCAAATGAACAGGAGGCCCTTAGCTCTTCGAGGTTGGTAACCAAGTGGCCTGGCCTGGCGCAAGTGGCCTTAGAACCAGCTGCGGCGAAGTTGAGCTGGGCCCAGGACTGAGCAGGGGCCTTGGCCTCTCAGAACCTTTCTTGTTGTGAAGGGCCACTCCGTGCGCTGGGGCGTCCGAACGTGTCGGACGTGAGAACAGGGGGACTGGATTTTCATCTACCGTGAGCCGCAAAACCCGCAGAGGAGCGAGCACCACCCAGCCCCTGAGTACTTTGAGTTGCCTCCTGAGCCCATGGACGGTCTAATGCCTTCGACGCGGGGCTCCCAGGGAGGAGAAGCTTAGTTCCCAGCTACGACACACAGGAGCGCACAAATTGCGCGCCATGATCACAGAATCTGAAGGCGCGTGGTTCACAGACTCGGGCCAAAGCATTAGAGCCAATATTTGTTTGGAGAAATGGAGAGAGAGAAGGGGAGCAGAGGGAGAGAGAGAGCGCGAGAGCAAGAGAAAGAGCGAGAGACAGAGAAAGAAAGAGAGAGAGAGAGATCCAGCTTTCAGTGTGTCATGGGGCCTAGGCGGGGCAAGCGCCCTCTGAAGCCATCAAAGACAGGGGTGGCTTTTTTCCCCTCCTCCAGCCTCCTCCCCAATAGATATAGCACGAATTTTTAATGCGTCTTCCTTTCACAGACAACAATACAGGGTTTGAAAGCCGGACACAATTTGGGTTTTGTGCGGGTCCCTCCTCGCGCTCCCTCGGCCCAGCTGGCCATATGGAATCCAGCATGGAGCCCGCGGATGACAAAGGGACCCAGTGACAGGCCCAACAAAACCCCAAGGAGACTTCTGCCTGACTCCGGGATTCACTGCCCGCGATAAGCGCGCTGAATGGTGCGGGGTGGGGCGGGGGGTGGGGGGAGGGCGGCCCCCTTCTCCCTCTTCCCCTCTCTCTGTCCCCTGCGATCTTTTCTCTGTCCCTTTTTAATATGCACGCCTCTAACATCTCCGGCTCCCAGCTTTCCCATTGTGCGGTTTTGTGCGGCCCTCTGTAGATTGGGCGAAGATAGACTGCTGAAGCGGACCCTGCGCCGGGTGCGCTCCCAGGGCGCTGGGGTTAGGGCCACACAGGGCTCCGCGGGCGCTTTTATTGACTCCATGGGGACCCAAAGACAGAGAGAGGCGGCGTCGGGCCCACCTCCCCGGCTCCCGGCCGGCTGCGTGAGCACACACCCAGACTGCAGGCCCGCAGACCTGGCCACCGCCCCAAATGCTCCCTCAATGCGCGAGCAGTGGACGCGTGAGAGAGTTTGGATCTTTCACGCTGCCCTCTTCCTGGAAAGCTGGGGGCTCCTACGATCATTCTTGGCCCCCGGAAGTCCTGGGGCCTGGAACAGTAAAAATCAACGCGAGTCTTCCGGGCTACTCCTCAGGCCTGGTGACACCTCCTCTGTAAGAGACTTAGAACGCCCACCTCCCTTCCCAGCGGGTTCCGGGGTTAAGGGAAGTTGCAGGTGGATGTTGAGTGGTTGGTACCAGGGCTTGTTGGACATTCAATTACTGCACAATAAACGATTTGGAAGAAATTCGTTGGCCTCTACAAACATCAAGACATAAAATCCCAAACGTTTCTAAGCTAGTGTGGAGAACAAAGGGAGATTTTTCAGCACTTAGGAAAACTGCCCCCTTCTGAGGATGAACCTGGAGATGGGAAAGGACCTTTATGGGGATATTAGAAAGACTCCCACGCCCTCAATTATCCGGGGGCGGGTGCATAACGCGGGAATAAAGTGTAATCACGTCCCTGGGCGTGTTGCGCTGAGTGCTATTGACGCGCAGATTTGGTCACACAGATAATCATGTTTGCTTTAGATATTGAATTAAATCTGATCATCAACTAGAGGGAGAGAGAAAGTCAGCAGGGACCGCTCCTTTTGCCTGGCTTCCTCCCTTCCTCAATCCCCCTCCAGCCTTGATGGTGGAGCTTTGGAAAGAACAAGAGATACAGTTTCCAAATGGGCTGACTTTCAATCCCCAAGCGTCTCGGAACGCCTATTGGGCTCTGACTACAGAGCCCCAAGTATTTCGGAAACTCGAGAGATAGACGAGAAAGGCGTACCCTCCAATCCGCCCAGCCCCCGAAGACACTCCCCCGCGTGGCCAAGTGTGCGCCAGCATTTGCCAAGGAGATCTCCTTGCGACAAGGGTGGGATGGAATCCGTTCCCTCCTGGGGAAGGATGGACGCGCTCTTTGAGCCTGAGGTTGTTTGCCCACTTCCTGGTCGCGGCGCCCCACCCCACCTCCAAACCTCTATTTTTTAACAATTCACCCAGCCTGGGGCCCAAGGGGCTAGCCTGGGGGGACCGCACACCGCCAAGCGCTGGAGGGAAGGAGACCGGGGATCCAGTCCCGCGCTAGAGGAACTAGAGAGGTCTGGAAACCCAGAAAGGATGGGCGGGGAAGGGACTGGGGAAGGCGCCGTTTCCTGGGATTGCTAATGACTCCTGCTCCCTGTCTCCCTGGGGCCAAAGAGCCTAGAGGAGGCTGCAGCATCCTCCTCCCTTCCCCGCGCCCAGGACCTCGCGTCCCCCCTAATAGTCAAAGCCTAGCGCGTCCCGAACCGTCCCCCTCACCTCCAGGCCTTGGGGCGGTCTCCTAGGCCTCCACCGGTCCACAGGTTTTTGAAAAGGGGGTGGGGAGTCGAGAGAAAGTTGACCAGTCTTAACCTCAAACATCCTTCCCCCCACCCCCTTTCTTAGCACGAGGTAAATCAAACGCAACAAAGTGAAAGTCATCGAGTGTAGTGGCTTCAACAGCTTCTCAGGCTGAAGGAGCCACTCGTAGATTTGGGCCAGCGAGGGGGGCTTGCTCTCCTCGCCTTTGCGTTTCCCAAAGTCACTTTTCCTCCCGAAAGCCGGGACGCTGCCGCCCGGGGTTCAGACAGTGCGCGAAGCCAGGAGAGGGCGGGCGACCCTGGGCTTCGGGCCGGCAGCTCGCAGGCCGGAGGCCTCACGCTGCCGCCCCGGCTCTGGTCCCAGGCGCGGGGTCCAGCCTGTCAGTTGGTTGAGCCGGCGCGGGGAGCCCCTCCAGCCCCCCTACCCCCGGGGCCCCTGGTCTCTCGGCCGTGAGAGGAAGCGCGGGAGGGAGCGCTACGCGCGGCCAGCCCGGCTCCTTGCCCGAGGCCTCCGGCCCGGCGCAGGGCGACAAAGTCAGACAAACCGGAGGGCTGGGCTTATTTTTTTTGTTTTTTTTAAACACAGGATTTTTATTAAAATTCTTATTTAAAAAATCGAAAGCTTTCAGCGCCCGGCGCTCTTGAGGAACTGCGCGGAACCGCTGAGCTCCAAGTTCCCGGGCTCAGGACCCGGAGGACAGGGCAGGGGGTTCCTGCCTACTCAGGTTTTCCTTTTTCATATTTGAGAAATGTTTGCACTGAACAAAATAAAAAGAAAAAAAAAAAAAACGAAAGCAGGGGTAACCCAAACAAAACCGAACCAAACCGAACCAAACCACAAAGAAAGGAGTTGGGCCCCGAGGGGGAACAGGCCGGTCCTGAAGGTCATTTTGGCAATAATCACCACCGATATTTACAACGAAAAGCGAAATCTGCCACCAGTTGTCAGAACGTTTACATGGCCATAAATATTTAGCATTTTCTTATTTTAAAAAAGGAAGAAATCCTCTATATTTTTAAAGTGTTCTCCACTTGCTTTAGAAGAAGACGGCTGACGATATCGCTACTCACACAAACATATTTTACAAAATTCACGAAAGCGGGATGGGGGATTGGTCTTTTTCTCGTTTTCAAGTGACGACATTAACGCTGGGACGGTTTGGTCCCCCCGGGGAGAGGCAAAGAAGCGAAGCTGAGCAAACATTCTGTAAACACGGCTTAGAGTTCAGCCCTCTCCAAAGGTTCAAAAGGAGAGAGGGACGGGGGCAGAGCCGGGTGGATGGAATCTGCCACTCCAAGGAGACGCAGGCAACCTCCCGGCGCCTCCTCAATGGAGCCGAGAGTCAACTCGACTCCATAATAATAATTATAATAATAATAATAACCACCGCAAGGACCGAGGCCTCCTCGCCGCCGCCGCCGCCGCCGCCGCCGGGGTGGGGCCTGGGCCTGGGGCCGCAAGTCTCGGAGGGGCGGCGCTCACCAAGTCCACTGCTGGGCCTGGACCAGGGGGTGTGCTGTCGGGTACTGGGGGGTGCTGGCCGAGCTGTACTGGGCGTTGTACTGCATGTGCTGCAGTGACTGCGCGCTGTAGGCCGAAAAGGGGATGCCCGCCTGGAAGGTGGCGGCTGCCAGGTCCTGGGCTTTGAGCGCGTGGCACGGTTTGCCGTCCCTGACCAAGACGGGCACGGCCACCCGGCGCGGGGAGGGCAAGGGCGTCACCTCCATACCTTTCTCGGCCCGGGCGCGTTTCATCTTGTAGCGGTGGTTCTGAAACCAGATCTTCACCTGCGTGGGCGTAAGGCGAATGAGGCTGGCCAGGTGCTCCCGCTCCGGCGCCGACAGGTACCGCTGCTGCCGGAAGCGCCGCTCCAGCTCGTAGGTTTGCGCCTTGGAGAAGAGCACCCGCCGCTTCCGCTTCTTGCCTGCGTCCCCCCCGCTGCCGGGTGTTTCCTTGTCATTGTCCGGTGACTCGTCGGCCGAGGGCTCTGGGGACTTGGAGCTTGAGTCCTGGGGGGGCGCGCCGGCTGCCAGCCCGTGCACTGGGGGAAGGGGAGGGGAAAAACAAGCGCGTCAGGCGCCTGGAGACCGCATACCGCCCGTGCCAGACCCGAGCACCCCATCCTCCGTGCACCCCTGGGCCTCGGCGCCTGGCAGTCCAGCCGGCTGCATTCGCCGTGACCCCTGCCCTGCTTCACGCCTAACGAAGCCTTCGGGGCCTCCCAGGGTAAATAGGAGAATCGGCAGGAGTGGGGGCTTCTGTCTCGAGCTTCTAGGGGTTCGCTCAGGGTAGGTGCAAATTTGGGGGGCAGTGGCATGCGGAAGATCATCGCGGGTTAAGGGCTCTGGCCCCCTTAAGTGGTTTCCTCTCTGGAGAGACGTGGGAAGATTTTTAAAAGAAAAACCCCACAATCCCAGCATTGATCTACCCGGCCATTTAAGGCAGGTTTTGGGGTGTTTTCGTTTCTGCTTTAGGGCTTTCTCGACATCCCCCACACTGCACAAAGCGTCCTCTATGACTGCGCAGGGGACAGGGTGAGCTATTTATACCCGGGACACCCGAAGCCGCCCCCACCCTCTACCCTTACCCAGACAAGGCTCTCGGGCTAGCTCCAGTGCGCCAGGCTAGTCCCTCCAGGCAGAGTCAGTGGTGGGGTGTGGGGCGGGGGGGGGGGTCGGCTGGAGCCATCAGTCCCGGTTGACACGTGTAACCAGCCCTTAGGAGGCATTTCCCTTCTCCTTTCCCCTTAAATTCTCGTGTTGCAAAAAATGTCGGAGACCAAGTCTTTTGCCTGGACTAAGGGGGCTTGGCAAGGAGGAAAGAGTGTCCTAAACAAGTGTTAAAAATCTTTCCAGGAACCCGGAGTGAGGGATCCGGGCTTACATGGCCCTTTCTCCCTTCACTGCCAGCGTCCAGCCCGGCCTGCGGCCGCAGGGATGAAGCCAGCCACGGCCTCTGCAGCCAAGTTTCGCTACTTACGGGAGTACTGGAGGCCCTCCGTGCTGGCCAGCCAGCGCGTGTACGGGTTGTCGCTGCTGTCGTAGAAGGGGTTCTTCAGGGGTAGGCTCTGCACCGCGTCCAGGGGGCCCTGCCCCAGCGGCCCGGCCCTCTTGGCCGGCTCGGGCCCCTCGCTCTCTTCCTCCGGCCCTTCGGCCACCGAGCCCTCCTCATCGTTGGTGTCCGGCAGGTCTAAGATGTCCTTGACTGAAAACCCCGTCTTTGTGTTGGTCAGCGACATGGTTCGAGACCCCGAGATTTATGTCGCAAAGTTGTAGCTTCACTTGGTCAATTCGTGGCGCTCCCCAGCCCTGGTGGGCAAGGGGGGAGGGTTGGGGGGAAGGGATTGGGGGGAGGGGAGGGGGATGGGCTTTAATTATTGAGATAATAATTATTATTTTAAAAAGAAAGAAACACCGGGGAAGCGGAGGAAACAGATAAAGCCCAACCCAGTGCCTCTGTCGTCTTTGAGAGCACGCGGAAACGGACGCAGGGAGCGGGGCGGCCTGCGCGCCGAGCGCCGCGGGCCCCCGGCCTTAGTTTGTAACTCCAGGAGGGGTGCCAAGGCGGCGTCAGCTACGGCTCCGGCGGACGCTCGGCGCGCGGTGGCGGCTGGTGGCGAGGAAAAAATGGGCCATTGCCCGAGCGATCAGTCCATATAAGGCTGGGCTCCACTCACGAACCTGGGGAGGGGGGTGAGGGGGAGAAAGAGAGGGAGGGAGGGAAAAAGAGGCAGGGAGGGGGAGCGAGAGAGGGAGCGAGAGAAGGGTGGAAAAAAAGGGGAAGAGACATTAAAAACGCAAAGGTTGGCCACGTGTGGGCGGGTCTTGGGAGTCAAGTGGATGAAGACAGTATTTGCAGATGTGAAATTGTGGGTTTTGGGGAGCTCCGCGCGCCCAGCCAACTGCCCTCTAGAGCAAGATGAGAGGTGTAACGTGTCAATTAATTGCAAAGACCGGGGGAGCCTTTTTTTACCCAGTATTTACATACAAAGGACCACCGCGTCGCTCGCGAGTCCACACACTTGAAACGGCCGTTTTAACAAATTGCATCTTAAAAAGGGGGGGGGCGGAGGAGAGAAAACAAAACAGAAACCAGGAGGAGAGGAAAAAAGTCCTCTTTAACATTCACCGGTTCCTACCTCCCCGCCCCCGCGCTCCCACCCACGGCAAGCCGGAAAATTGGCGATTTGTGGAGCCTTTGGAATAGGGGGAGGGGGCGAAGGCTGAGCTGCGGAAATCTTTCCTTCCCATCGCTGGTGGTTCCCTAAACAAGATCCGGTTCAAATGGCAAGAGCCCAACTTCTGTAAGCCTCCTAGGTCAATATTTTGGTTGAGGCTTAAGGATGAGTACTGGAAATGACAAGGCAAGTAATTGATTCTAGTTAACCGCGAAAGAGCCCGAAACCCAGGAGAGGGCTCGGCTCCGGGCCGGCCGGAGCCACCACCAGGCGACCCACCCCCCTCCAGCCGCCCTTTATTTGCTAAAGACTCATTTATTTCCTTCACTCCGCCTCCCCCTACCACCCCCTCCTCCTCCCCCCACCCCGCCTCCATTTCTTTGCGGCCGAGGAGGACACACAGTTCACTTTCTGCTTTGCGGGCGGTCCAGGGAAGGGCGGGGTGAGCGGGGAGCTCCCACTTAGGCCGGGTTCGGACCCGGCCTTGCGGCCTCGGGACTCCGCGGGCTGCTTTCTCAGGTGGAGGAAAAGGGCAGACGACCCAGCTCCTTTCCTGCCCTTTATTATCGCTTCCTCTCCGGCCCCCTCCCTCTCCAGCCTCCAGCTAAAGGTGGAGCAGCAGGAAGGGAGAGTGGCAGGATGGCTGGGGGGGCGGGGCGGGGGCGCTGTGTCACCAGCCCGAGGACCCCTAGAGCCGCGGGGGAGGGGGTCGCCGGGCGGGCGGCTCCTGGTGCGTTTTCTCCGGTCCTGGTCTCTCACGCGAGTCCTTTAATGTCGTCTCCTTTTGGGCGCCCTGGGGGCGCGTTCGGAGTACTGCGCTTCAGGTTCCCAAATTGCGTTAGGTTAGCGTGAAGTTTCCAACCACTCTCCAACCTGGGACAGGAACTTCCCCGGAATGCACCTCCTCCTCCGCGCCTGGGAGGAAAAGGCCACGCCGCACATACCATCCCTCCTTCCAGTTAAAAAAAATTTTGGGGGGGGGTGAGGGTTGCTACCTGATGCTCTTTTACCCCAGAGGAGCGTCAAGAAGGAGCTTTGCCTGGAGGCGGGGAGGGCAGAGAAGGCCGCCGCCCGCGGGCTCCGGGTCTCGCCGCCCCCTCTGCCGAAGCTCGGGAAGCCTCGCGCGGGCCGAGCAGAGCGCGCGGGCGCCAGGTCCTCCTCGCGCGCAGCTGCTGCAGCCGTCGCCGCGCCCCAGCCGCCCCCGGGTTGCCAGCGCCCGGTGAGGGCGCCTCTCCCCGAGCCTCTCGGCGGCTTTCTGCAGCCCTTGCTGCCTCGCCCCCAGTATGTGACGTGGGTGACAATGGCCCAGGTTAGAGTGAGCCCCTCGTCGGCGCGTCCTGGGTGGTCGGACCCGGGCAAACACAAATACAAACCGATTGCTAAGCTGCGGACAATGAGCGAAATGTAGACAAATGTCCCGCTCCCGTTGGAAGCCTTTGTCCCGGCTCGGTTTTTGCATTTATTTCAGTGGCGAAATAATACATGATTGACGCTCTCTTTCAATGTGTCCTAACTGTTTGGAATAAATCTAAGGTTGTTCCTAGTTGTCATGGCATTCAACCCTTTTCAATGGACTATCTCTTCATTCATTTCTGAATCCGTCCACAATATTAAGGAAAACCCTTCATGTCGACGCTCCCCGATTCCTCGCTTTCTCCTCCTACTTTTTCTTTTCTCCTTTCTCCCCCTTCCCCCCTTTTCCCCACTGCAAGAATTAGAAACTGGTTTGAATCATGTTCCTCGAACCCACTACTTTTCGTGCCTTTTTTTCCTGCTCTCTTTCCAGTCTCCCTTTCTCAGCCTCCCTCCCTGTTGTCTCCCCCCACCCCTTTCACTTGGGAGCTCGTCGCCCTCCCCTGCCCGAGGAGAGAAGTTGGTTCTCCAGGAGTCGGGAAGCACGGAGTTTGGACACAGAGGCAGGGGTGGGCCTGTCCCTGCCCATTGTTACTCAGCTGCTAAATAAATAACTGGCGAGAAAAAGTTCCTCAACCCAAGCGTTGCAGTAAAGGCTTTCCTTTTGTTCCTCCTCTTATTCCTCCCTCTTAAGGGGGTGGGGGCTCTCTTGGGGACCAGGGTAGCCTCCATGGTTGGGTACTGGGGCCAGAATGGAAGAGGCTGGTTGAGCCAGGCCAATTCTTGAGTTGGATGGAAAAGGGGTCCATTGGCAAGAAGTATCCCTTTTCGCAAATCCCCAGGACCATGAGGGGCGTCGTTGCCAGCCAGAGGCCTTCCAGAGCCTGCTCATTTCTGAAGCTTGGAACCACCTAGTTCCACATGGTTTCCAACTTCTCTCTCCCTTCCCCCAGCATAATGGGGCTTTCTTCTGAAGATCTGACCAGCACTGCAGCTGTTAGTCATGTCCCCTCCCCTTCCCCCTGGGAGCCAGCAAGGTGCACAGAGCACCTGAGAGACAACCGTTTTCCTACGGGAATGCAATGCAGGCTCCTGGAAATTAATCACCGGGAGGGAGGACTACCATTGGCGTCTTGAGAAGGAGGCTCTCAGCCCAGTTCACAAAGGCCTGGTTTGCTCTACGCCTGTCCCTTGGCCTCAGTCACCTGAACCCTTCTGGGTCTCAGTTCTCGGGGTCTCCTTCCCGGAGCACTCGGTGCCCACTTCCCCTTCCCACCCAGGCTGCTGCCTGGATCCCTATCCCCTCCTCCACCCTCACTCCAGCTAGTCCCCCAGTTTTTTCTTCCCCTCCGGCCTTGGGGCAGCTGGGCAGGGAGGGAGGGAGTTGCAGAGACATTTGGCTTTGCCCCTGCTGTGCCCAGTGCAGCCGGATCCACAGCGCTCAGAGTCTCTCTCTGCCGGGACCTCGCAAGACCGTTTTCCCCATGCTTCGTCGCTCGTGTGGTTCCCGCATCCGATTCCACAGCGTTAACATTTGCAATTGAAAAAGAGCATGGAGACCGCTGGGAGGCCCATAATTGAAGGGGAGAAACTGGGCTTGTTAGAGGAAGATCATAAAATGCAAGTCCCCAAGGAGGGGCCTGTGGACTTCGGGAGCCCCGGCTCAGGCCCAGTTGGCGGCCAGGGGCAAGTCCAGTGTCCAGAGCACACTCTAGGTTCTCCTTGATTTCATGGGCCTGGCTTGCAGCCAGAAGAGCCTAGGGATCAGGCGCCAAATGCACCTCTTCTGACCAAATTAAACAAGTGATTGCATCCTGAGGACTCCCCAAGAGGCCTGGCTGAGAGCACCATGGCCAGGGCTTTTCAATGCCAGGAGCTCCCGTTCTGCCCTATCCTGTACACCCAGTAGGCTGAGAGCACCCAGCACCCCCCACCCTTCCTACTCCTGAGTCTTTTATTAATGTCCCCACCCCCCACTCTGTCAGCATCCACTTGCACCAGTTTCAGCTCCCTTTGGATGAGCTCTAGTCTCCTTCACTTGGAATTCTTTAGCAAATTCTTTCCAGGTTCCATCTTGCAGCCAGGAGAGGTCAATGTCCTCGGTTCCATCAAGTTTGGGTTTGGGCTTTGGGCTCAGCTGCCATAGTTTGGGGACCTGTGAGCTCCCTGCAATGGGGCCTTCTCCTGCTGCAAACTTGGAAAGGAAGTTGAGGCAGGTGCTGAAAGTTCTGAGTACAGCATGCCCTGGGCCAGAGGGAGGCCTGCTTGGCACCTCCTTAGTGTCCCCAACACTGCTCACCCCTCCTGGGGCCACCCAAACAGCTGGAGCACTTTCCTGCCCCCGTCTTTGTTAGCGGCGGTTGGGGCTCCAGGTTCCGCACAAATGTCTAACTCTGTATTCTTTCCTCCTAGGTTTAGGATGGGCGCAGTGGGAGTTACAGGCCCCAAGGAGAAGCAGGAGAGGGGAGAAAGAGAACCTGTCTTCCTGGAGGCTAGAGGAGAACCTCCTTTGGGAGGCTTCTTCGGGCTCTTAGCTGGCTTCTGCTGCTCTGGGTCCTGGGACAGCCTAAAGCTCCGCGCAGGCGGCTGAAGCCCGCGGTGGGGGAGTTGAACAATCGCTGGAGGCCCTGGAGGGGAGGTGAATGTACACAGGCTAAGTGGCCCCACTCCAGGACAAGTGGCCCTCTAAGTCGGCCCAGTGTTTACCTGTTTACTTTCCCAGGTAGCTCAAACATGAGAGCCCTTTTTGCGTTCCAGGGCATAGGTGCTGCCCTGCCTGCTCCCGCGTCCCCAGCCCCTCACTTCCCCACACTGTGGCTTTAGGCCCTCTGTGGGGGGTGGGGTGCGCTCTGAACAGCAGCAAATCGGGAGAGAAAGGAAGATACTTTAGGAAGGTGCAGAGAGGCCTCAGCACACCCCACGTATGGGAGCCTTCCTTAGTGTGCCTGTGGGTGTAGTGGGCGTCCTCCTCGGATGGCATCCGAGCCTCCCCCCATCTCTGTTCTGGGCTTTGAGGGCCTCCTGGGAGGCACTTTGCTCACACCCTTCCCTTTTCAGGCTGG